TAGTCAAATTCCCCCAAGCTATTGAGAACAAAACAATTAGCTAAGATGTTTAACTCTGAGTAATGTACCTCCTTTCATATACCCTCCAAGACTGACTAGTTGGTAAATGTTTGCTTAGGTGGCTGAATGAAGTAATTTGGTCTTTGGGACAATTAGCTTTAATTAAATTAGGACAGTGACTTTAATTTCAGAATGGTAGCTCAATGGCCCTTTTCTCTGGCAGTATTTGTGGTCAGCAGAACCGTTTATTTTCAAGGCAATTTCTAGATCATGGTAATGTAATCATACGGTCTGCTTGCATGAGAATACTTATCTTTGTGACTCCACCAAGAGATATCAGACCATTACAAATGTCTTACTCCCTTGGAAATACTGATTTCTCAAGAAGTTATATCCCCAGGTTTTGTGGTATAGATGGAAAGATTCTGTATATGCAGATATGTTCAGGGATCCCAGTACTGAACTCATACAGTTTTACCTTTAAGTGACTCCACTAAAAATGGAAACACATTGTTGACCAGTTTTGCTTAGAGCAAAACTTAATGAAGATGGTAAACAGAACGTAACAATGGCCTGTAGGTTTTGTCCTCTCCTTGTATAAAACATTGACCCTGCAAAACCCAGGTTCATAATTTATTAACAAGGAAATTTATACATTATTTGTAGTGTCAAGATAACCAAAAGGTCTTTCATTAGTGATTAAATCAATTATATTCACCTATACAGTGGCTTACTCTGTAGTCATTAAACAGAAATAGATGAGCATGCCTGACATTGACTGATTTCACAGATACAGTTTAAATGAAAAAAAAAACCATGGTGCACAACGTTATGTATAATATCCATATCTGTGGGGAAAAAGAGTTAAACCAAAAGTATGTACTTGTATGTACTGGATTTTGTGAAAGGAAAACTGAGGTACTTTTGCATAGTCATCAGAAGGGACACTGGGGGTGTCTAGTGTGTTTTTTTAGAGGTTTGCATTTATTACTGTTTTTACATAACAATATCTAATAATTTGAAAAGGAAACGAGTACATTTTGCATAAACTGTCCAGTAAATGTTCAATAGATCTGTAATTTGAAAGAAAGTAAGGACTTTTCTCTTTAAAAAAATTTAATTTTACTCAATGTGAAATTAGTGATGCTTTGTTGTAAACTACATAGAAGGATTATATAGCATGCATTCTTCTGTAACTTACTTTTTTCACTTAACATTGTTTCTGAGATACATCTGTGTTATTGCATGTGTCTGTAGCTCATTCAGATTTACTAATATACAAAATTCCATTGTCCACAATTTATTCACTCTACTGTTGATAAACATATGGTTGCTATACAAATGCTTATACAAGACTTCTGGTGCTCATGTCCAAGAGTTTATTAGGCCATTTACCTAGGAGTAGCATTTCTGAGTCACTGAGTAAACACATCTGTGGCTTTCAAGAAAATGCCAAATTATTTTTCAAAATTGTTGTAGTAATTTTCATTTCTGTCAACAGTGTCTAAAAGTTTCGGTATTTGGTATTATAAGACTTTTCGGTCTTTGCCAATTTGAGGATATAAAACAGTCTCTTGGTGTAGCCGAGCATCTTTTCTAATGTTTATTGGCTGCTAATGTTTATCTTCTGTGAATTATATTTTGTTAGGTTTTATCTATTTTTATATTGAATTATTTGTCTTTTATTTATTGATTCCCTGGAGTTCATATATTCTGAATACTAATTATGTAATTCTCAGTTACATGTATTACTTATTTTCTCCCCATTTGTAGCCTGTCAAGTAAAAATTTTTACTTTTTTAAAAAAATACTTTTTATTATGGGAAATTTAAAAATATGTAAAAATGAAGGGAATGATATAACTAAACCCTGTGTACCCATCACTTAGCTTCAGCAATGCTTCAACAATTGTCAGGATTTGGCCAATCTTATCTTATCCATTTCTTACCCTCCTGAAAAGGAGATCACAGACATGTTATTTTTCCTGTGAATACTTAAGTATGTGTTATTGATTGATAAGTTTAAAAAGAAATACTATCATGCTATTAGCACATCTAGCAAAGTTAATCAGTCCTTCTTAAATTTTCCTAATAGTCTTAGAAATGTCTTTTTATCATTGGTTTGTTAGAATCAGGATCCAAACAAGGTCTACACATTTTTACATGTAGTCTTTTTTATTCTCTTAAGTCTTTTAAAGTCTCATAATCTGCTAAGTCTCTTTTATTCCATAACAGTTGATGTTCCTCCTCAGCCAGAAATATTTTGTGTATATTCTGTTTTGTTTTTCTTTATGCTTTTTGTTTTGTGTACAAAATTTTTAAAAATTTCACTAATGTAATTGAATATATCAGTTTTTCCTATGATCTGATGCTTTTGGTATCTTGTTTAATAAATTCTGTTCTCTACAGTCTTCTAAAGAGGTTAGCAGTTTTACCTTTTACTTCTAACTGTTGGCTTCACTAGAATTTAATTTTGTGTGTACTAGGAGGTTGGGATTCAATTTTAATTTTGTCTCTGTGGATTATTAGTTATAATAGTACCTTTGACCTACATAGTACTGTCATCTGCAGTAGTACCTCTTACATAAATCAAGTTTTCACATATATGTGCATCTGTTCCTATGCTCTCTATTCTGTTTCATTGGCTTACTTCTCACCATAGTGAATTACTACAGTTTTATAATATGCCTGGCCACCCAATTGGATGAGTCCTCCATCCTTGTTCTTCAAGATTATCTTTGCTACTCTTGGCCCTTGGTGAATCTTGTGTACATTTTGGAATATGCTTGTCAAGTTACACACACACATGCACACAATTACTATTTATTGGAATTGCATTGAATTTTTTGAGAATTTCATCTTTATAATATTAAACCTTCTTATCCATGAATATGACTCATCTCTCCCATTTAAGGTGTAAATCTTTTCTTACAGCATCTCCCTATTAAAATATGGTATACCAGTGTAGAAAAAAGAACTTTGACCTCTATCTCATACCATATGCATAAATTAATTTGAGGTGGATCAATCATCCCAGCATAAAACCTAAAACTATAAAACTTCTAGAAGAAAATAGAATATATTTGTGATGCTAGGGTAACCAAAGATTTCTTAGACCATAGAAAGCATGAATTATAAAAGAAAAAATTTATCCAGTTATTGGACTTCATCAAAATGTTTAAACTGCTGCTCATCAAAAGACATTAAGAAAATAAACTACCAAGCCACAAACTAGGATAAGTACATACAATGCAAATATACGGCAAAGGAGACAAGCAACTTAATTAAAAAATGGGCAAAAATCTTTGATAGATACTTCGTTGAAGGCCATACCAGTGATCAAAATAGATACAAAGTGTTCATCATGATTAGTCATCAAAGAAATGCAAGCCAAAATCACAGGGAGATATTACTACATACTGATTAGGATGGCTAAATTGGAAAAAATAGAAAGACAACAGCAAATGTTGCAAAGGATGTAGAGCCACTAGAACTCTCACTTGTTGGGAGTGTAAAAGCTGTAAATATTTTGAACTGGTCAGTTTCCTAGAATGTTAGATGTACTGAAATTTTATTCTCAGATGTTTATACAAGAGAAATGAAAACATAAGTTCACAAAAAACCTAGTAGTAAAAGAATGTTCATGGCAGCTTAATTCATAATAACCAACAGCCCTTGTTTGTCAAGAGATGAATGGATAAACAAATTTTTATATTCATACAATGGAATACTACTCAACAACAACAAAAAAACTGATACATCAAACAACATGGATGAATCTCATAAACTTTATGCTGAGTGAAAAAAAGCAGACACACAAAATTATGCAATGTATTATTACATTTATATGAAATTCTAGAATAGATAAAACCAATATGTGGTGATAGAAATCAAATCAGTGGTTGCTTTGGGGATTGGGAGTTGACTGGAAGGGGCGTAAGGGAATTTTCTGTGATGGTGAAAATTTTCTGAGTCTTCATAGGAATGTGGATTACATGAGTATAAGCATTTGTGAAAACTGATCAAATGGTATACTTTAGATATGAGCACTTCACTGTGTGTAAAATATACCTCAGCTTTTAAGAATATGATATTTTGGGTCTCCATTAATAGGGACATCCATTAAGAATGGGTACAAGGGGGCAGATTATGGAATATTTATGCAACCCCTTTAGAGTAGTTCTTTAATAGTTAAGAACACAGAAAATTTGATTAAATGCTATATTTAGCTGGAGCTTTGAGGGCAGTTATGCAGTCTGAGGAACTGTTTTTAGATCTTGGCAGAGTTCAAGAGTGGTATTTGTAAAGATGGAAAAGGTAATTCTCGCAGGCATCAGTTGGGAGAGGGTCTCCAGTATCTCACACACAACCACTTGGTACTTTTGATAACCATGTCAGACCAGTGGTTTTCAGCTGGGCACCATTTTGCCCCTCATGGTACATTTGGTAATGTCCCGAGACATTTTTGATTGTCCTGACTCGGAAGGTGGTGTTGTAATACTGGCATCTAGTAGGTAGAACCCACAAAGGCTGCTAACAGGATAGCCTCCACAAGGAATTATAAGCTCCAAAATGTCATTGGTGCCAAGTCTGAGAAACCTTGTTCCAGACCTGCCCATATTACTGAAGCTGAATCAGTCACAAGTCAACTGTGTATTGACTATATTCATCGTCCAAATCAACTGTGGAAACTGGGCATTTGCATGAATTATATATTTCTTCTCTGACAGAATTTAATATCAAATATTTGTAAATATGCATAATCTTAAATTTTGAGGTAAAATTCCATCTATCAGGAGCATTTCCAAACTTGAAATTAAATGTGTTGTTTCTATTGATGGTTAAATTTTTTAGATGTGCGTTATGTTCTTAACTTTATTTCATTAAATATTCCAAACAAATGACCTTATCTTCTTTATAAAAAATAATAAAAAGGCTTTATCATCAAATAAGAGGAAATAAATTATTGTAATTTATCTTTTCTTCCCCCTCCCTCCACAGAATGACAGGGAGCGAATTTTTTTCTCGTTTCCCAGAACTCTATCCCTTTCTCCTCAAACAGTTGGAAGCTGTAGCCAATACTGTGGACAGGTAAGAAGAGGATAGGATGGGACAAAATGAAACCAAGAATGTGAATTACTTTATTAATTGAGATTTTCCCCCCAGGCAACTTTTTAATCAAGTTCTTCCTTGTAGCATAGATGGATTTTTTTTTAAGTGCTTCTTTATTACATCATGTTCCCTGACTCCTTATAGGAGATTTGTGCCTGAAAGGTTGAATAAAATCCTGTTTTCATGTTATGTTTTATACTTTTAAAATCCTCTTTCCTATTAAATGTTATCAAATTTAACCCTGCTTTCAGTGTTAAACAAGAACTAGCCTCTTAGAGTACATGGTGATTTCTTCTAAAATTATCTTCTTCCAATTATGCTTAAAAATCTGTGTGTTTACATACTGAGTTTGCTTTAACACACACCCTTCATTTTTTATTGCTGGTCTATTGTAGCTGACCATTGTAAAAATATAGCAAATAGCTGACTAATCTGTCATCAGAAATGGTATTAGTCAACCTGAGCAAAGATGGCCAGCGACCCCGGGAATATGAAAAAAGCCATTAAGAGAGCCTCCAGTCTGATTAGGGCAAATAGAAAGTTTTACCATTGTCCTTTCAATCATTCTGTAGCTGGTAGTGGAATTTTTAGTATGAACAGCTTAGAACATGTACTTTTTTTATTCTTAAAGCAATTTTTGTACTTGGTAAAAATTTATACCATTTTTCTATAATGGGGAAATAAAATAACATCAATGAATTTTACTTCTGTTTATGATACATTTCCTCACATTAGTAATTTGTGTAGAGAGGCTTCTCTGGCCCTAGTAAGTGACTGTTCATGCTTTAAGTACATTTGGATGTTGAAAATTTCACATTTCATATTCTGGAACAGGCACCTTTCTACTCTATGAACAGCTCAACTTAAAACACAGACACGGATTGCCAGATGATTAGCTTTGAGAAGAGAATCGTGTGTGCAAACCCAGTGTGACTTTGCCGTTGTCCTTCCTAATGTGCACATTAGAAACATATGAAGTAGATGGGGGAAAGATCATAGAGTCTTACTTTACATACATAACTATTTAATGAGAAAACTGTTTGAAATAGTGCCTCATGTCTTAAATTTAGATTTTTTATATACAATAATTTTTTTTTTTTTCAGTGATACAGGAGAACTAAACCGTCATCCAAGCATGTTCCTCTTACTTTTGGTGTTGGGGAGGCTCTACCCTTCCCCGATGGACGGCACTTACTCTGCCCTCAGCATGGCCCCCTTCGTTCCCTTCATTATGAGGTAGTGTATGCTTCATGGAAATAATGGGGGTTGGCATGGGGGCTTTATGGGGGTATGCTATCTTGTTTCAGAAATTTTAGATTTATTTTACTTAAAGGCCTGGGGGTTACTGCCATTTTCCCTAACTGGACTCTAGTGTTTCCAAGGGACATGCTATTTCATTACATTTTGGGTGCAGGAGCTCATATCTTCTGTTTAAGTGATGTTTCCTTGGAGCCCTGTCTGCAAATGGATGTATGGTGGTGATAAATACTCACTTTTGAAAAACATAGCCTGGGTATTTGCATTATCCCTGTGTTGAGCCTAGCCAACATGGGGTAGGCTAGGTCCTGGCATATATACCCTGCCCAGGGTTCAAGAGGATATCTATCTTTTCATTCCTGGAGCAATTTTCTGTGACTGCAAATGGTATCATCTGTATGGCAATAGTGCATGGCCCATGTTCACTTCCCACTCATTTTCTCTTTCAAGCTTGGAGTACCTGAGGAAAAGCCATGCATACAAATTATGCATGGAATCAGATAATAACAGGCTTTCCTGCTGCTAGAGCCTATTACCACTTCCTCTGTTACATTTTTTGAGGCATTTGCCAACTTCTGATTACCTTTTTCATTTTGGATCAAAACTCAACAAATAAGCCTCCAAAAAATATTGAAATTTCCTTATGAAGTATTTCAAAAACTCAGTTGTATTAGTTAGCATTTTTACCTTTCTGCTTACCTCTTGACAAAACAGCACCTTTATTTTTATGTACCAAAAATTCAAATAGACATAGAGCAGAAGGATAAGATACATAAAACTCAAGAGAGTGTTTGTTCTTTTTTGTGGTGGCCTGGGTTCCATTTCCTGGTTTCACAGAGCTGACTGATACATTTTAATGTGAGAAACCATTAAACAGGAGATTCTGGCATGTGATTGCTGTAGCCATTTGTTTGCATCAAGCCAGATTGGTTTTTGTTTCCTGATGCACAAAGTTACCAGTCTTTGTATCCAGCACTTGGTGATTCATTTTAGGAATTTGTGTTGTAAATTTTACTTTCAGGAGCATTTAAAAATTGTACTTTCACATATAAAAAGAAAAAACTAAAAAATGTTGCAGAAAGTCGATGGGAAGGGGGAAAGGCACAAACACAGACTCACAGTGTACGTTAGTAACAGTGATGTGCTTTAGAACTTTGACATCCTAGTTGAGAACATTCAGTTTGTGGAAGCTTATTATTAATCATCTATGTTGCATCCTAGAAACCAGAAATTACTATGTTGAAAGTACTTTTGTAATTTATTAGTTTACATATAATCAGAATGTTTGTATTACTGAATTATATTCAGAGCACTTATTTCACGCAACAAAGATTGCATTAATATAGAAGATTTAAATATTGCCTTAAAGCCAGTTTATTTAGTACATCATTTTTTAAACACAAAAGGCACAAAGTTAGGAGTGGACAGTTATCCTGTCCTTCCAGTAAAAATGCCTCAATCGATAGTTGCTTTCCACCTGAATAAAGATTCATGGAGCACCACTAACAGCACAGGTGCCACAATTGTCCTTTGCGTGTCAGTAGGCTCCAATTTATTGAATGTCTGTTTGCCTTCTAGAACAGTGTTTCTCAAACTTTAAGATGCAAATGTATCTTAGATTTATCCGAATTTATGGGATCTCATAAATTCTGATTCAGGTGATCTGGGCTGGGGGCCTAAGAATCTGCCTTTCAAACCAACTTCCAGGTAATCCTGCTGCTGCTGGTCTGTGGATCACACTTTGAGTGGCAAGATTAAAATTTAGGATATTAAACTTAAAACATTATCATAACTACCTGCATACACACAGATGATTTTAATAAATGAGACACTAGTAGAGTCATACTTGGTATTGGTAGGCTATTCAGGGGGTTATAAGAAATAGATTTTGACCCAGGAATGCAGAGAGTAAGCAAGAAAGTATTCTGAGCAGAGAGGTCAGAAGGAAATAGACCAGCCTTTGTTGTGCTTTGAATGTTTGCCAGGCACTGAACTGGACATTTTGCTAACAATGATACTGAGAGGAGGTGTTTCCCATCCCCCATTTTCCTATTGAGGTTCAGAGAGTGAGTCCCTTATAGAGCTGGAGTATGGACCAAGATCATAGGTCTTGTCACATGTGTTGAGTGTACTTTTTCTATTTCATCAAACTAGCCAGTTCTCTTTTGTGTAGCCAAAGCTTTAGCTACACTGAGTGAACCATGGGCCCTGAAATTTATGCAACTAAGAGTGATGAGGAGCCTCTATCCCACGTCAGTGGATCCAAGTACAGTCTATTTTCAGGATATAGAAGTCATGTCCCCACTGGCAGTAGGATCTGCTCCTGACTGCTTTTCTGATTGAGAGGATGGCTTGACTGGATGCAGCCATTCGCTTAGGTTCACACCTATGGGGTCATTGCCTGGAGGAAGGGGATTGGTCTGTGTCCAGGTTGAGGAAGGCTCCTTTCTTTCTTGACTGTCTTCTATCGTGCAGTGGAAGAATGCTGGACTTAGTTTGGGTTTCAGTCTACCTCAGGGACAATCCTGTGCTACCCAATAGTGAATTTGATAAAACTTTACATATTTGACTTAAATTACTTCTGAGGAAATTATTCATGATGCAAATGAGAGCTTGATCATAAAACCTATCATTCTAGGCAGTTTGTGACTCTAGGCTGGTTAAGATTGGGCTTTTTTGACTTGGGATAATAGCTGAAAAGATGGCTGTATGCAGAAGTGGATGGGTGGCGGTTTATTTTTGTAGCATTGCTAATGTTAATTTATGTACTTGAAGAGCTCTAATCAAGCCCTTGGATACTCTGAGTTTAGCTAAAGAGAAATTTTTCAGCTGATGGGAGTAGCACAAAGGTTACACTGACCGTGCTAAAGTGAATTGCACAATGGGAAGATTAAAAGCCCCATGACAGTTTTTTATTTCCCTTTTATTTATATATTCTTACTTGTAACTTCCTTCCTCTCTCTAAGGTGTTTGTAAGTATTATTTGTGTTTTTGTCCCTTATCTGACATTTGAGACTGTAAGCTTTTATTTGTTGACTTAAAATCTTAAATGTTTCTAATTTAGGTTTTCCAAAGTTATGCCTGTGTACAATTATGATTGTTGCTTCATCTGGGAACAGAAATGATGTTAATCCCAGTGTTGTGTCTATAAGGTTTTCTGTAATCCAGTGTATTTTTATGTACCTGCTGCTGTATTGGGTCCAGGTATACAGCCCTTTACCATGCAGATACGATGCCTTCAATTTAAGGCTATTTGCCTTCAGTTCAAATACTATAAAGCAGAGTGGACTCATGCTTTAAAAGGGACCCTGACTGGCTCCCTGCCTACAGCTCACCAGTACCCGCTTGTCTGGGGCTTTCTAGAAACCCAAATCTCTCTACGTATGCACCTTTGAAATCCCTTTCATAAGTGAGTTTCAAGTTCGAATTAAGAGCTATTGGAAACCAAGTAAGAGCTAGGTGACAGCATGGAGTCCTGAACAGAGCAAAGACACTGGCCTCAAGAGACCTGGTTCTATTTAAGCTCTGCTACTTACTGACTAGTTATGATTATTTGGACAAGGCTCTTTACCTTCTCTGGACCAATGTGTATCTGTGTGTGTGAGGGTAGCAGTAAAGATGGGAAGTGCCTTCTATTGCTGATAGAAGTGATAATGGTGAAAACATGAATCCAGATGGCATGGTTGCTCTGCTGGACTACCATGAGGATAGTGTGACCCCATATATTATTTTCTTTAAGGATGGCTTAGAAATGGAAAAATGTTAACAAATTTGACTATTTACATCTATCACCTGTCACCGTAACTGGCTGCTGCTTTTCATCCACACAACACCAGGACTTAGACAAGTGGGACTGATGTCATCTTGAGCTCTTTGTTTATTTTGAGTTTGATTTATTTGGATTGAAGGCATGTTTTAAAGAAAGAATAGGTTGTCTAAAAATGAAATGCATTTAAGCTCATTTGAGAGAATGCCTCTTAGTTTAATACACATTTAAATCCGTCCTATATAGTGTTCCTGGAGAAGCTAGAGCCTGGTTGTAGACCACTACTAGAAAGCATAAGACTGTCTTCATGTAACTTCTACAGTGAAAAATACTCTGGAACTGAAATATAAAAACCAAGAACCATCAGTCTTAATTCTGAGTGAAGTAAAGGGGAGACCATGCCCAGAGCAGTGCTAGCATCTGCAGTGGGTTCCCTGCATGTTTCATCACCTCCAAATGGAGGCAGTTAACTCTGGAAAAGATGCTGGAAGAGTAAAAAGAATACAGTTGGAAAAAAAATAGAGGCTCAATACTTAGGTTTTCCAGGAAACTTTAATGTCTTTCCATGGAGAAGAAGCTCTAGGTTTTGTTTTGTTTTTTGTTTTTTGGTACCTTTCTCTTCCTAGCCCAAGTTTGGACACAGAGACTGACCTAGTAACCTAAAAATGCAAGCAACTGTGAATTGAGACATTTTGTGACTTAGCAAATCTGTGTATCTATGAAGTGCTTAAGGGACTCCTAGTCTTATGATATTGGAGCCACATTCCATATCCCATTGGTTACTGGTTATTCAAAAAGGAGGCTTGGCTGGGTTTTGTCTTTTGCCTGACCTTTGAGGAATCTTGGGTTCTGATGTATGAAATCTGACATTTACTTTTCCTTTGACTTTACCTCTGTGACCCTCTATTTCCTTTTCTATCAAATTAAGGTATTAGATATTACCTAGATCCTCTCTGGCCTCATGAGCCTGCAACCTGAGATCCTCCTGGACTGAATTCCTCTTCTTGGACTACTGTCCAGTGAACTGTTCTGAAAGCCCATCTCATGGCTACCCTGCTGCAGGCTTTACAGCCAAGTGAGGGGAGCCTGAATTGTTAAGAACAGAAAAGGGAAAGTCATTGGTGAAAGTCACTGGTGAAAATCATTGAATTATAAACAAGCCAACATACATAGGGGAAAGCCTCCCAGATTAATGTGACATGAATAGGAGGGC